TACACTCCAGCATGTCTCCTGCAGACACATCCAGTCGCGCTGCATATCTCTCGGTCTCAGTTGCGGTTGCCGACGGCACCGGAAGAACGCGGCCGCATCTCGAACTGTGTTACTGTTCACGGAAGTCCTATGGACTTGAACTTTCTCAGATATCAGTCACTGTATTTCGTCATCGTTGCTGCCAGCGTGCAGGCCAGATGACTTCAGTGGCAGTGGCATGAACGGCATCTCACGCTGTCGACTACTTGTGCTCACCGTCCTCATCCTTCGGAGCTTGTATGTGCTCACATTGCTGGAGACTTCCGTTCTGCGTTCAACGGGGTAAAGTACTGTCGTGCTCAGCTCTGTTGATAGAAACCGTTTTCCTAGGACGAGCAGACGGTGATCGGTCCGGCGTTCGGTACGCACTATGCTTTTGTCATGGCAACCTTACGACTATCCCACCTTCTGACAGGTTCATTGTCCGACATTTGCGACTGGCGTGGTCGAGGGCCCATTCATATTGTATTTGTACGTTCTAAGAGCCGAAAGATGGTGTTGATGACAGGGAGGTTGTGTTCTGTGGCCCTCCCTGTGACGAACAAGCATTTCTGAGCCTACTGGGGTGCTAAAGTCACCCAGGACAGTCTCTTCATCCGCCTTCGGCACGGGCACGAGGTAGACGTGCAGATCTTTGTAGAACTTCTCCGTTGCGTCATTCTGCACTCCAAGGCACGTATACTAATGACAACTCTCTCACACGGTGGAGACGTCGTTCTAACGAAACGGTCGTTGGTTCTGTGTGGAAATAGTAACTTACTAAGGAAGTCTTTTGTGATGACGAAGGCGGCTCTTGCCTTTCTGGCGGCCGTTCCAGAAGAAGACTTACCCGCCACCAATGCACGTCTTTGTTCTGAGAAGCGGGCCTCGCCAAATACGCTGATGTCCACATTGAAATGGGACAGTTCTCGTGCGACCAGTGTAGCCCTCCCCTCTCTTCGGTCGGCTGTTCAATAACCTAAAAGGGGGTGGACGTTCCAGACTGTCGCTGGCGGGAGGAGTAAAAGGCTTGGGTCCCTCGTATAGTGTTCTAACCGCATGTCAAGCGGCCAATGAACGGAGCGATTGCCAACATTTTTAAGGCACACTTCTCTGCCGTTGGTGATAGCTTCGAAAGCGTTTCCCCTAAAATCCTCACTCATCGAGACTTAAACTCAAACACTTGGGAACCCTCATCCACGTTGAGAGCTCCCCTAACATTCTGGTCTGCAAAACGATGAAGCTCTATCAGCGATGGCAAAACATCTGCTGAGATGTATAAGCACAGAGGCATTACCCTAACGCGGTTTTTGACGGAGAAAACTTTCCTGGTATGCACTTCGAGGAAGGTGAAAAGAGACGGCGTGATAATTTATGCTACCCAATTAGGAGACACCTTTACCAAGCTCCTTGCAACTGGCTATATGGGAAGACTCCAAGTGACCTGAGATGCCATAACACAACTGGCAAACGAGGATGCGTAGGTTACATTAACCACACCGTAACTCCTCTTTGCCCACTCCAGTTTCACCCTCTTGACCAGAGTAGCTGGTTACCGTCCGTTTCATGACTTTGCAGAACTGCTCGATTCGCTTCATCGTGACCAGCGGTAGGCAGTAGTGAGGAGTGAAGCACTTTTGACGGCATTCACAAGCTAACCGCATCACGATCACCTGCCTACCGCAGTCGATTGGCGGCGAATCTCTGGGCGAAGACTGAATATGGGCAAGTTAAGACATTCGCTCGTGTTCGGCCTCAATCGCGCCCACCAACGGTTTCAGTTGGCCATCTCGGTCTTCGGGGGAAATGAAATCCTGGACTACTTCGTTGTCGAGTCAGCCCAACACATGACTGAGCCATCTCAGTCTTCCAATAAGGAAGGCACTGTTGACGTGTTGACTTCCTCACCGAGCATATAACCGTTCTTTGAAGGCGCGATCAGTAAGACGGGATCGGAAGACAGATCGCAGGTGCCATCAATGGGATACTTGCAAGCACTTGGCACTCTTTGACCTCCGTATTGAAGGCTTATTTTGAGGAGAGCTTGGTATACTCGTAGTTTAATCTCACGACTACAACGACCTCAAAGACGTCGACAACAAGTGCCCGATTGACTGGTGTTTGGTTGTATCCTTGCCTCCCCTATCTGACAGAACCTTCAACCCCTAGGCGGCAGCTGTCCATGGACCTGAAAATGTCACCGCCCCCCGTAACCTCATAGATATCTGCGACACTTCTGTTTATTTTGATGGCTTTGATTCTGTGATCCGCTCCAACTGTCTTCGCGCTATTAAGAGGGAGCAGGCGATCGGGACAGGAAATGAGTAGGACACCCTTATAACACGGCCATTAGGCAGGGTGAGACAGTTTTATTCCATGGGTAGAACGCGGTACAGTCCTTCCGTAATCCTGCAATCCTGCGAGATTTACATTCTCCTGTTGTAGTTGGGATTTTTGAATTTATCCATTTTATGACTAAACTTCCTGCTCTTAAATTCTGTCTGTGACGGTCAGCCGACTGCCTTACGGTCTTGTGAGTAGTAACTCAAACGTCTAAACTTCTGCCCGACGTTTGTAACTATGTATGCATCTTTTGCACAGATGCCGACTGGTTCGCCCTAGTTCAGGGTGCTAAGGAGACTGAGACCCTCTCTCGCCGCCTGGCTTTGCTTCACTTTGACTGG